ACAGGGCATTAGGCTGAAAACCAAACCAAATGGACTGACATGTCCACTCTCCTTGACGGAGAAACCAGGCCCTGGGCCAGGCTGACCCAGGGAGCTGCCTCAGTTGGCTCTCATTGAGCAGCCCCGCTGCTGTTTCCCTGAAGCCGGCTGTGAAGATGCCTCACAGACTTGTGGCATCTGGTGAATTTTCTCAGAACACACTTGTGGAAATGAGTGTGAGGCTCATAGTAGGAGAAGTGCTTCGATTTCAGGTCAGTTTCCCGTCTGATTGTGACTTCGTCACAGCTCCTCCCTCCCTCCCTTCCAACAGTTTCACTCTGCTACCCAGACTGGAGCGCAAAGGTACAATCTCAGCTCACTGCAACCTCCGCCTCCCGGATTCAAGTGATTCTCGTGCCTCAGCTTCCCAATTAGTGGGGAACAGGCATGTGTCACCATGTCTGACTAAATTTTGCATTTTTAGTAGAGAAGGGGTCTTACCTTCTTGGTCAGGCTGGTCCTGAGCTCCTGACCTCAAGTGATCCGTCTTGACCTCCTAAAGTGCTGGGATTACAGGCGTGAGCCACCGCGCCCGGCCTCCTTGCTTTCTCTGTGCCAGGTGCAGCTTGGACACTTTACCTGTGTTGGTTTCAGGTACTCCTCACAAAATGAGGAAGCTCCATTTTGCTGGTGAAGAGATTGAGGCTCAGATGGGAAACCTTTCTCCCGCCCTCTGTGCCTGCAGACATAACAGGGGCTGTCCTTCCATAATTCCACACCGGAATATGCAGCACGGTTTGTCCTAGGAGCTAGATGGTACTTGTCAGGGCCTCTAGAACAAGAAATATGTCCACTAATCCTCAGAAGGGCTTTTCGTGGACTGCCTTTTAGAGCCTGTGGTTCAGTTGATTCGTGCATTTCCAGCGATGCAGCTGTGTCCCATTTTCAGTATCTCAGGACGCTTATGGATTGATTTCAGCTTTGCCATCTCACGCCTGTCCATGCAGAACTGAGTCATTTCAGGACATGTGGCTTCAAATGACAGAAGCCCACTCCAACTTGCTTAAGCAAAGATAGGCATGATTGAGAGCAGACTGGGGCATTGTGTATACCTGAAGGCCATGGTGTGTGGCCAGGCTCCCCAACCAGGAACCGCAAAGCAGCAAATCTGTCTCTTCCTGTGAAGGGCTGTTTCCTCCATGCCCTTCTGCTTCCTTCATCTCTCCCTGCAGGACTGGCTTACTCCGTGCACGTGGTTACCCTGCAGCTTTCAAATGTATTGCACCCAGTTCTACTAGTCAGTTCAGAAATAGATCACTCAAAGGTGATTGTCACCCAAGGCCACAGGACCTGCTTTGGGAATCAGTGCCCATGTATGAAACTTTCCCATGAAGAGCGGGCTTTAGGTTCACTGCTATATCCTGGAGCCTAGAGCTGTGCCTGACGTCTAACAGGTGCTGAGTAAGCATTCGTGGAAATGGATGGGTCCAGCTGGTTCCACTGCACTCCCCAGGCAGTGGTCTACACTGCAATCACAGTCACGCTCCAGTCTTGTGCCTTAATCACCTGCTTCTGGCACCCCTTCACCAGAACTGCAACCAGTCAGAGGAAAGGGAAAATCAATATCGAGGTTAGGTGGAGTACCAACTATGGGCCCAGCACTGTGGACAATGGAAAGGCAGCTCTGTCCTCAAAGATTTCAGTTAAACTCAAGATCAAAGCTGGCCAGGTGCGGTGGCTCATGCGTGTAATCCCAGCATTTTGGGAGGCCAAGGCAGGTGGATGACTTGACGTCAGGAGTTCGAGACCAGCCTGACCAACATGGTGAAACCCCATCTCTACTAAAAATACAAAATTAGCCAGGTGTGGTAGCACATGCCTGTAATCCCAGCTACTTGGGAGGGTGAGGCAGGAGAATCACTTGAACCCAGGAGGTGGAGGTTGCAGTGAGCCAAGATCATGTCACTGCACTCCAGCCTGGGCAACAAGAGCAAAACTCCATCTCAAGAAAAAACAAAAAACAAAGATTAACGCTAAAGAGTGAAATTGACTGGGGACACCATCTCTCAGTACAGCTGGGCTTCCCAAGGACCAAGGACCAGAAAGTCACCAGGAGGCAGCAGTCTCTGAGGCTCATTTTTCATGGCTGCGTCTTTGAGCAGTTAGCTCCATTCTCTCTCTGCAGAGTGGCTTCTTCTGCTTCACTTGTCTGTGGCCCATCCTGACGGCCCCCAAACAGTCACCTAACCCCTGAGACCACATCACTCAGCTGAACTCTCTATCCCAAGCCTGGCTCCTGGGAAAGACTTGCCTAGCCAAACTGAGCTTCTGATTGATTCTCCCTGGGTATCCTGGGTACATACCTCAGATCCAATCAGCTGCGACCTGAGAGCATGGAGGTCGCATGTTCCCAAAAAGATGCTGAGATCTGTCCTTTTGAGTAGGGTGGGAGTGCTGAATGGGGCTTAAAAAAAGCAAAATTCATTCATATTTCTTCTTGCTGCTCGCTGATAGCACTGGGGCCATGTGGGCTGCTACTTCCATTTCCCCCATGTTTGTGCTTTTATATTTACTTTAGGAACAAAAATATGATTGAGAGGAAAGAAAAGAGCTAGAATCTTCTGGTTCTTGCCTTCTTAGCTTCTCCCTTTTTTCTTCTCCCTTCCTTCCTCCCTCCCTCCCTTCCTCCCTTTCCTCCTCCCTCCCTTTCCCTCCCTCCCCCTTCCCTTCTCTCCCCTTTCTTCCCCTCCCCTCCCGTTCTCATCCCTTCCTTCCCCTTCCCTCTCTTCCCTTCCCCTCCTTCATTTCCTTTCCCTTCCCTTCCCTTTCCTTCCTTCCTTCCTTTTCTCCCCCCCTCTATGCATCTTCCTTCCTCTTTTTTCTCCTTCCTTTTTCTCCCTATCTTTTCTAGTCCAAAGAGAGAGAGTCCTGAGGATGATAATACTAGCTCTGAACCAACAAGCAAACAGGACAAATGTGCTTTGGGGAATTTTGAGTGAAGGTGACCTCCTGCTTTGTCAGGTGGTTTTAACTCAATACTGCAGAGAATTTCCTTGCATTGGGGCACTATTTAGGACTCCAAACCTGGGGTTAAAGTTTCCAGCTAACATTCTCTCTGCTTTCATTTTAGAAAGAGGTGAGCCTATGCTCTATATTGTGTATCACTACATATCCATTATAATATGAATAATTTTCTACTTGATCATTTCCAGGCATACAAGCAGGGTTCCTACATGCTATTTCCGTTGCACTCCCATCTGTGGGAAGAGTCATGAACTGTTGAGGACAAAGCAGGGCCTCTAGTGAGTTGAAGATTGAGCCCTTTATTGGTTTCCTATGAACCTTCTAACAAATTGTTATGGTGACCAATAACAACAGAGATGTGTTCTCTCACAGTTCTGGAGGCCAGAAGCCCCAAATCATATTAACTGGTCTGAAATCAAGGTGTCAGCAGGGGGCTGCATCCTTCAGGGGCCCTAGGGGAGAATCTGTTCCTTGCTTCTTCCTGATTCCAGTGTCTGCCAGCATTCTTGGACTTGTAGATTCAACACTCTCATCTCTGCCTCTGGATCACATTGCCTCCTTCTCTTCTGTGGATATACTCTCCCCCTTTTGCTTGTGAGGACATTTGTGGTTGGCATTAAGAGCCCACCTGGCAAATCCAGGACAGTCCCATCATCTCCAATCCTTAATTTAATCATAGCTGCAAAAACTTTACAATATTCACTGGTTCCAGGGATTAGAGTCTGATACCTTTGGGGACCACCCATCAGCCCACCCAAGCCCCACAACTCCTTCTCCCCCATGGAGGGTCTAGACTAGGGAGACATCCCAAAAGGTGTCTACCAGAAGTCAGATTCAGAGCTCTTCCACAAAGTCATGTCTCAACTCATCTGGGTCCTTGCTCTTCTCTTTTGTTTCCCTCCCATTTATCCTCTGGTTGGGAAGAAGCACAGAGAGTAACAGGAAAGCAAGCCCAGCCCAGGGACATGAGACACAAAGAGCCATGAGTCAGCTCAGGAGTGGGCTGGGGAATAGACCAGGCCTCTGGGTGTCCCACGCCACGAAGCCAATCCCAACATCTCCCCTTTTAATAATGCATTGCATAAGGAAAGTGAAAGCTTGGTACTTTAGTTGCTGCTGCCAATCTTGAGATAAGGTGATCACTGCCTACCTGTCATCCCTTCCCTCTCCACCGGAGCTTGGTAGGAAACATCTGGGCCTGGGAATTTTCTTCCCACCAGGTTTGGCACACCAGGTTTGACACCCCGCAGGCTGGTTCCATGCCCACCAATAGCAGGAAGGCTTCCTTTGGACTTGTTTTCCTGTACTCTCACTTCATGGTCAAGACCCTGACCTCATAGGTCTCCATTCCCCTCCTGTGTCCCATCTTCAACCTTGTGTGATCCCCGGAGCGTTTCTTATTCATTGCACTGCTTTTTTGGGCTGCACAGAGTCACTTTCCCCCTCCAGGGGGACATGCTAACCCACCTCCTACACTTACACAGCCTGTCAGTTCTGGGGGCAGAGGACAAGCTGCACTGAGCTCCCTCCTGGGCTAGTTCTCAGGAGAGGGAGATAAGAAGGATGCCTAGACAGGTAGAAAGCTGCTGTTTAAACAACCAGAACTTTCTTTTGGGCACATGGGTCAACAGGGACAACCTCTGAACGTGAGAAGTACAAGTCCTCATTCAGAGTTTGGAAAAGCTCTTCATACTGAGCTGTTAGGTGGGGTGTATAGGAACCTAGGTCTTGGAGCCAGGAAACCTGGGCTCAAACCCCAGCTCTACCGCTTACTGGCAGTGTGACACAGGGTACTTAACATTAACCTAAAACCTCTGTGAGCCAACCAAAAACGGCATTATTACCAGACTTGGGTCCAGACGAAATGGGATGATATGTGAAATGCTTAGCACAACACCTGGCATAAGTGTTCAGTACACATTAGCTATTATTATTGCTGTTTTTCCCTAAGAAAGTCAGTACTGGAAGAGCTGCTAAAGTAACTCAACACCCAAATGTACTACATATAAAATATTTTATTATAAAAAGCTCCATCGTGTGGCATTTCAAAAAGAACAGAACATTTCCTACAGTTTTCCTTTTTTCGCTATTACACAGAAGAGACTAGTTAGGTGTACCAATTATGACTATCAAGTATCACGTGCCTAAGTTCATCAGGCCTTAAGCCCTCAATGAAAGACAGCACCAGGGGCTCTGCGAGGGCCGCCACCTGAGCCTCATCACTTAATTCATAAAACAGCCTGTGTCCTTCCTACAAAGCCAGGTCATATTTCCTACCTGCAGTTCAGGACTCCAGCGAAGACAGGAAACACAAAACTTGTTTTTTTTTTTTTTTTTTTGAAACAAAACAACCACAGTCTAAACCAGCTGCTAGGAACCCTTTCCTAGCTGGAAAGGAGAATGTGACCTGCGATTCAGAGTTAAGAGGATTAGGAGATGCCTGTAGTGAGTGTGGTCCACAGATTCACCAGCTCCAAGGCAGCGTCTCTTTCCAAGGCACCTGCAGCAGGAGGCAGTGTGGGTCAACAAAGTCACTCCGGATACAGAGAATCCCCTCCCCCCATCCAAATGGCTCTGTGCACAGCTGGCCTCTCCGTTTCTCAACCGTGGCTCACGTGGCTTTGTTAGAGTCTCGGGGGCAAAAGGTGTGAGAGATGGGAGGGAGTGTGGCTCAAGTGGGGCCGTTCAGTCGGGTGGCCGGGTGTCGGGGGCCTTCTCCTGGACTTCATCATACTGCGGTGGAGGAGTCAAAGGCTCTATCGAGGGAGGAGGGACGTTTTTGTCTGGGAGGTTGATCCTAAAGTCTTTGAGGTGAAGCTTTTCGGATTTAATCCTACGAACTTTGAGCGGTTTCAGCCGTTTGGCTAACTTAGAGTTCTGCCTGTCAGGGGTGTTCCCGTGGCTGGCCTCCACATCAGCCCTGGTGGTTGTGGGGGTGTTCTCATCGAGCCCCGTCAATGACTCATAGGATGGGAGAGAGATGCTCAGCCTCGGGTTCTGCTCTACTCCCCTTGCTTCTGAGTAGTTTGTATTCATCACTTCCTCGTAGCTGGGGACATAGTACCTTGAGGCAGCCTCCTCCTCCTCTTCTTCCTCCTGGCTGCAAGAAGACACACAGACAGGGAGAGTGTTAGCATGCACTCAAGTCATCCAAAATCCCAAAGAGATGGGCTCCAAAGAGACCACACACAGCAGCCTTGTAAATAGCAAATGGGTCTTAGAGGCAATAAAAGCAAACATTCCAAGTGTTTACTATGAGCTGGGCTCTCTTCTAAGTACTTTAACACATAGGAACCAATTTCAGATTCCTAACAACACTATAAGTATTATTCATGCAGGACAGGTGAGTCCCCAAACCAGGGCTTAGCCTGGGAGGGTTCTTGGCTTCACCCAGGAAGAAATCCAAGGGTGAGCCAGTGACGTTAGACAATCATTCTTTACTGAAGGGCGGGCACTGCTCCTTGTGGATGAGCGCTAACTCACAGGCAGTACACCCAGAGTCGGCAACATAGGGGCTCTTGGAAATTGCGTTTATATCTACTTATATCCACTTTCGATCACATGCAGATTAAGGGGTGGGTTAATGCCAATTGAGGGGCAAGCTATTTAGAACTTTCTAGGAAAGGGGCGGTAACTTCTGGGTCATTACCATGGAAAGGGATGGTAACTGCCAGTTGTTGCCATGGCAGTTGTAAACTGTTGTGGCACTGGTGAGAGTGTCCCATGCTGATGAACAATGAGGGCAGCCGTGTTATCACCCTCATTGCTGTTTGCTGGTTTTGGCTAGTTTGTTCTAACCTTATCTCATCTGGACCACATCCTGTTTTGGTCAGCAGGGTTATGACCAGAAAACAAGTCCTGCCAGTTTCTCTCTCACTATTATTATATCCAATTTATAGATGGATTGGGATACATCAAGATTAAGTGACTTGGTCAGACCTTCAGAAATGGGAGGCCGGAACTGAACACACACTTTCAACTACTGCACCATGCTATCTGGGTGTTAAACTTCCTTTGCCTTGAGTCTGTCCCACTTAGCAACATGCCAGGTGAGCTATTCCATGCTCAGCTGGGTCCTCTGGCCAAAGGCAACACAAAAAGGTACGAAGTAGCTACCGACTTTCAGTAAAATGGTTGCCTCCAGGTAGAGGAAGAATATCTGAAATGTAACATTTATGTGTGTCTCAAATGATTCTGGAATTTTATCTTCCAAGTTTACCCCAAGACTCAAAAAAATCAGGTCCTCTCAGCCTTATTCTTATTTGACTGTTGAAAGAGAAAACCAAAAAGTCGGGATGTTTTCTCCACATTTATAGGAATTAACGCCAACAGGCAACTTTCCAGGGCCCTACACTTGAACCTGTGGGGTGATCATGGCCAACATCGGAAACCTCAACGTCTGCCTTGGTTCTCCTCCCACCCTCTTTTAGGAATGAGCTCAGTGTGCTCACAGCTAGGGTAGGGGATGATGAGTGATTGATATTCCTTCTTTGTTCTTTTCTGTATTTCTCAAGTTTTCTAGAATAAGCATGTGTAATGGTTAATTTTAGGTATTTTAGGTGTCAACCTGACTGGCCATGGTTGCCCAGATTAAATGCTGTGAGAGTGAGGATGTTTCTGGAAGATATTAGCATTCAACTCAGTGGGCTCAGTAAGGCAGATTCCCCTCCTCACCATCTAACCCATGGAGGCCCTAGATAGACAGAAAGTCAGAGCAAGCAGGAATTTGACCCTTTTCTCCCTGCCTCATTGTGTGAGCTGGGCCATCCCATTTCATCCTCTCCTGCTCTCAGACTGGGATTTATAGATACCCCCACCTCCCTTGGTTCTCAGTCAGGCCTTTGAACTCGGAACGAATTATACCTCTTGCTTTCCTGGGTCTGCAGCTTATAGATGGCAGATTGTGGGACTTTTTAGCTTCCACAATCACAGGAACCAATTCCTCATAATAAATCTCCATTAAAAAAAAATAAAAAATATATATATCCCACTGGTTCTGTTTCTCTGGAGAACCCTGACCAATATAGCATGCATTATCTTTTGTTATCAGAAAATGAGTTTAATTTGGAAATTGTATATACCCACTTACACCCACTTTTAATTACGTGCAAATTAAGGGGTGGCTTAATGCAAATTGAGGGGCAGGCTATTTAGAACTTTCTAGGAAAGGGACGGTAACTTCGGGGTCATTACCATGGAAAGGGATGGTAGCTGGTAACACTGGAGGGCAGAAATCACTTCAATATAAGGAGACTTTTTTCTTCTGGTGTATACCCACAAGCAGTATTGCTGGATCATTGGGTAGCTCTATTTTGAGTTTTCTGAAGAACCTCTAAACTTCTCCATAGTGGTTACACTAATTTACATTCCCACCATTAGTGTACAGGGTTTCCTTTAATCCGTATTAAATTAAGAACAATTCCCCTCCCACTATAAAGATAAGAAATGCTTGTAGAAAATTCAAACAACACAGAAACATCTAATGAAGAAAAGAAAAACATCCCAAATCCTTTTACCTGGAGAATGACCACTGTAACATTCTGGTGTACACCTCTTCTGACCCTCCAATCCCACAGCCACAACATTTGATGGGACCAGAACCTGACCAGAGATTACTCCCTTCCTCAGTGCTGTGGATATGGTCCCACATTAGCAAATACAGATCAGCAGTGGCTGCATAGAACTCCACTGAGTAGGTACAACTTCGTTTCACTTCGTTGATGGGTTTTTAGGCTGTTTCTAAGTTTTTGTTATCCTAAACAACGATCTGATAAATTTACTGGTACGCACTCCTTTGCATTTGTGGGACTGTCTCCCAGGAATAAACTCTTATAAGTAGAATCAGTGCACACATCTTCAGTATTGCCCCTTACGGTGAAACTCCAGAAAGTGTATAGCAGTCAACGTTCCATCAGCCATCCACCTTCCCTACAACTCTCCAACAGTAGGGGCTGTCTATCTTGACCAATATGATGGGCAAAAAAAACAAAAATAAAAAAAACCACATCTTTTTGCTTGCATGTCATGATTAATGAAGTTGACATCTATTGGCTGAACAACCAGGGAATATTTATAACCTTTGTCTGTTTCCTATTAGCATATTCATCCTACATATCCATTTGTAAGGGCTCTTTTTATAATAGGGGTATCAACTGTTATCTTATGTTCCCCGTTATCGCTTATCTTTTAAATTTGTTGGTGGCATTTTTGCATAAATGGAAACTTGCTTCCCAGCCATTTCAAATCAAAGCATATACACAGCATGCTGGGGTGAAGGGACAGGCACTGAGTGTGAAGGTGCTAGCCACCCCAGGCCCTGCTCAGTGGCCCTGGGCAGGTGAAAATGTTGGTTCACTTAAGAGTAATGGACTCCAGCTCCACCCAAGTTGCTGCAAAAGACAGTTTTTTTTTTTTTTTAGGCAGAGTCTTGCTCTGGCGCCCAGGCTGGAGTGCAGTGGTGCTATCTCGGCTCAGTGCAACCTCTATGCCTGGCGACTTTTTGTATTTTTAGTACAGATGGGGTTTCGTCATGTTGGCCAAGCTGGTCTCAACTCCTGACCTCAAGTGATCCAGCTGCCTTGGCCTCCCAAAGTTTTGGGATTACAGGTGTGAGCCACTGCACCTGGCCCAAAAGACAGTATTTTGTTTCTTTTTATGGCTGAATAGTATTCCATGGTGTAAAAATCTATTGTAATAAAATTAAAAAAAAATCTTGGTTCACCTGTAATCCACTGTACCACTCTATTTGGGAATCTCTGGTAGAAAAGTCTAAAGTTATCTGTAAAATGATAAACTCTTTACAGAGCCTTCATGGGCAAACATGGGACAGTAAAGCCTTGTAGATGACAGTCTTTTCACCACGGAAAGGTGTGCACATGTGTGTGCGTGCATGCCTGCCCATCCCCGATCTGGGGAGGGAAGGGCACAGTCAGGCCTCACCTGTCTTCTTCCTGGGCATGATGCCCGGTGCCTGTCGGATGCTGGACGTGGGCCAGGTCCTCGCCCTGCCGCTGCTTCCTCTTGTCCCTGATACTCAGGCAGATGGAAAGCAGCAGCAGCATCACCCCTGCCCCGACCAGCACGTAGGCCACGGAGAAGGTCTTGCTCTTGAGGATGCTACCACCCACCTCAGTCTTGTTGCTGCCCTGAGCTGTTGGCTTCTCAGCCGCACTGAAACCAGGTACCAGGTTCCACATGGCCATGATCACCCCAAGGACCAGCATCCCCAGGCCGATGGCGGTCAGCGCATAGTGCGAGCCGTTGGCCTTGGACTGGGCCATCGTGTCAGTGGGAGGAGGGCGAGGCCCGGTTCCAAGAAAGAAAATAAATATACAAAAAGGAGCAGCCGCAACAAAGCCCCCTTAAATGCACCCCACAAAATTGCCCGCCCCACGCTAGAAAAGTATCAGCCAAACTCCGGAGGGATGGTTCTGAGCAATCATGAGGACTCCTGTGTAGATGGCTGCGGCGGAAGAGCCTGCAAGGAAAGCAGAAAGAGCAGAGAGAACGATCAGTTTCAATTCCAGACGCTTTGTGAACGGGGCGGCTCTGCTCTTGAAGGAGTTAAGCCACAGCACTGAGCCCGCTGGCTCTGGCTGGGCCTCGCCTTTGATGCATTCCAGATGTCTTACGTGTGAGGCTGCAAGAAGGGAGGCTGGTCTGCCCACCCCCTACTCCCTGAAAAGGAAAAGCCAGACCTTGCCCTGCAGGAGGCCAGAAAGTTCAGAACTCAGGTCATTAAAACATTGTGTGGAATTTAATGAAATGCAGTAAAATCTCAGCTCTGGATGGAGGCTGCTCTCGGAGAGTGAGGGATGGGATGAATGGGCCACGATTGATAGTTTTAACAGACTCGCCTGGGGGACAGGGCCTCCCAATGGTATGTCCAGGCCAAACAGCCTACCACCCTCTGTCCACCACTCTCAAGGGCTCCCTATTTCCTGCAGGAGAAAATCCAGCTTAGAATGTTGCTGCTCACGGTGGCCTTAGCCTGGGTCCTGCCTCTCCTATTGCATCTCCCAGGCTGCCTTTCTTTGCACATGCCCCCCACCACCCTCCAGAACTCCTCAGTTCTCTGGTCACCCCAGCTCAGGTGCCTCTTTCATGTGCTCCCCAAAGCCTCCAGTAACCACTGTAGAGTCTCTCTCTTCCCATAACCACAGCATCCATCATCATCTCTAAGCCTGGCACACAGCAGGGACTCAAAAAATGTTTGCAGAGTCAATGCTGGATAAAATGAATAGAGGCCACGAGAAGCCACCCAGCAAGACAAGCTTCTCTGAAGCCACACCGAATTCTCCCTTTGTTAAAGGGGGCAGAGGCCTGCACATTCTTCCTCTTCACTCCTGTGCCCAGCTGGACAAAGTAAACCTTTCCACGAAGCAGCTCAGAGACCCTGCACTAAAGGGAACAGCCCGCAGTCCTGGGATTCCACAGCATTTGTCGGTTGCGAGTGAGCCAGAGAAGCAGTCACTTAAGGCTTTAGGTTAGAACATTTTCAAGCACCCAGGAGGAGAAGCTAGCAATGCCCCTGGCTAAACTGCACCCCCCCCCCACCCCCTAGCCCATAAGTTATTCCTGTGACAGGCACTTTTGTAAAACAGTAAAATTTACAAGATGTTTAGCTGGGCAAGGTCCTGTTTACAATTCTGCGTTCTTTCCAGTCTCTCCAAAAGGATGGCTGACCAGGCTGCTTGAAATCTGATGTTGCGAAGATATTTTCTTATGAAACTGTGAGCTTATCTGAAATTGACCACTTTGTTAAAAGATACTCTAAAAATATTTGGAATAATATCCTTTATCAGCTTGAAGTCTGTTCCTTCTTTTTTTTTTTGCTCAACAAATATTTCTTCTCCATCTAACTACCTGTTAAGCAGCATGTTAGGCACTGGAGAAACAGCAGCGAGCAAGCTAAGGATTAGCAGAGCTCACGCCTGTAATCTCAGCGCCTTGGGAGGCCGAGGCAGGAGGATCACTTGAGATCGGGAGTTCGAGACCAGCCCGACTAACATGGAGAAACCCTGTCTCTACTAAAAATACAAAATTAGCCAGGCGTGGTGGCGCAGGAGAATCGCTTGAACTTGGGAGGCAGAGGTTGCAGTGAGCTGAGATCACACCATTGCACTCCAGCTTGGGCAACAAGAGTGAAACTCCGTCTCAAAAAAAAAAAAAAAAAAAAAAGGATTAGTAGAGCTTCTAGGCCAGCAGGAAAATGATCTATAGGGAATACCAATAAAGTGGGAGGGAAATATAGGAACTGTGGGATTAGACAGCAGGGTGTCCTAGCTCAGGGCTGTGGGACACACAGCAAGTCTATGTGGGAGAGAAGTCCCCCTGGCGTCATTGGGCCTGCACCCTGAATGCACAGCACTGTGTGTGCATGTGTGTGAATGCACTGGCTCTGCTCTTGAAGGAGTTAGGAAGAAGCACCAAGGTATACCGGTGCATGAACACATGAGTTGGTGCATGTTTATGCACACATGAGCACATATGCATACCTGTGAGCACCTGTGTACATATGCATGCATATGGATGGAATATGAACAGGTAGATGTGGGCATGTGTGTGGTGTGCAGGGCGTTGAATAGGGATCCCACTGCAGACCGCTGCGGTAGGACCAGTTGGGAAGGGCACTGTATACAAGGATACTTGTTTCTTACAGTATCACTCATGGCTGGCAAAAGGAAGGATGGGGGCTCTGACAGCCTTAGGAATGCACTGGTTCTGCCAAATGGATCCGAGACAAGGTCGGATTCGGAGGGTGGAGAAGTGGACGCCGGGGGCTGCTGCTGGAAGCAGGAGTGATGCAACTACCACGTTCTGAGCACCTGCTAAGTGCCCGGCAGGGAGGCCCTGTACCTGGGGCGCTGAGAGTGTGTCTAGCAGACTAGGGATTTGAGCCGCTTTAACCCCCTCCCTGTCTGCTCTTATTAATTCTCCATTCCAGCTTTAGCCTTATGCTGCATGAGAGAAAGACAGGCTCCAGATGCGGGTCATGGGCGGAGATGACAATGTCAGGATTGGCCGGGTACAGTGCCTCATGCCTGTTATCCCAGCACTTCGGGAGGCTGAGACGGGCGGATCACGAGGTCAGGAGATCGAGACCAGCTTGGCTAACACGGTGAAACCCCATCTCTACTAAAAAATATATATACATGAAAAATTAGCCAGGCATGGTGGCACGTGCATGTAATCCCATCTACTCGGGAGGCTGAGGCAGGAGAATCAGGTGAACCTGGGAAGCAGAGGTTGCAATGAGCTGAGATCGAGTCATTCCCTCCAGCCTGGGCTACAGAGTGAGACTCCATCTCAAAAAAGAAAAAAAAAAAAAAAAAGAGTTAATACATTTTTTTGATCTGATAAACTGTCGGTGATTAAAAACGTGATAATACTCAGCGTGGAGAAAGGTGTTGGGATGGCAATTTCATGGCATTTTTTTAGATGACAAGTTTTGCCATTTGTAGAACAAAAGTCTCAGAAATGTTTATACCCTTTGGCTCTGTAATTCCAACGTCTAAGAATTATGTACAGAGATATTCATCACAGCTTTACAGTGGTGAGAAGCTAGAAACTACTTCAATAGCCAATAATCCAGATCAGGGTAATAAATTATGGTTCATGCACTTATGAAATTATGGTCTCAAAGCAGCGAATATATTTTTAAATCAAACAACAAGGTTAAAACAACAGTATGTTCAGCTTGATTCTAATTTTATAAAACTTCTCTATACACAGATGAATATATGGGGAAAAGAAGCCTGGATGATTGTACTGACATTAAAATAAAGAGACGATGTATTTATATATATGTACACGTATGTAAAAATCCCAGGGGACACCTTCCAGCCTTGTACCAATGATTGCTTCTGGGAATAAAGGAAACTTGGAAAGTGTACCCTTCACTCTCTATTTCTCTCTTTTGAATTTTTACAATCTGACTGTATTGCTGCATGGTAACATCGCTGAGTGGTTAAGAGTGAGCTTGGGACCCAGGCTACCCAGGCTCAGATCCTCACTCTATTCCTTCCCAGCTGTGTGACCCCTGGCAAGTTACTTAACCTCTCTGTGTCTCAGTTTCCACAACTGTAAAATGGAGATAAAACTCTCGGCTGGGTGTGGTGGCTCACGCCTCTAATGCCAGCACTTTGGGAGGTTGAAGTGGGTGGATCATGAGGTCAGGAGATTGAGACCATCCTGGACAACATGGTGAAGGCCCGTCTTTACTAAAATACAAAAAATTAGCTGGTGTGGTTGTGCACATCTGTGGTCCCAGCTACTTGGGAGGCTGAGGCAGGGGAATCACTTGAACCTGGGAGGCGGAGGTTGCAGTGAGCCGAGATCTCGCCACGGCACCGCAGCCTGGCGACAGAACAAAACTCCGTCTCAAAAAAAAACCCCGAAAAACAAAACAAAACAAACAAACAAAAACAAAAACACACACAAAACTCTCTAGTACCTACATCATAGGGGAGTTATGATAAATCAACAATATACATAAAGAACCGAGAGCAGTATGTGAGCAGCACAACCGTAAGTTCTTAAACAGACAAAAAATTGTGATTTAATATTAAAGCTTGTATTCTCCGTGGGTAAAATCACCCACAAGGGGCAAGAATTGTTTCCTGGGGATGGGGTGAGAAAAATCTTGGCTATTACAGTGCTTTGTGGCCCTCCACAGGGCCACAGAACATAAATAGATACACAGTGCATCCTTGGCATTACATTTTCAAGTACTCCAAAAAGAACATCTAAAAAGACTTCTCAGGGAGGGCGAGGTGGGGGGAAAGGTTGAGAACCACTTTTTAATGTATCATACTAAGTTTCACAACAGTTGGATTATCTATTATGATGTTTATAGTTATTTTCCCTGTGTGATGGAATTAACGATGATTTTCATTTTCTTTTTCTTCCCAGGAGAATAAGAATTAGAAAATAGAAGTGTCTATCTGTTGCTTTCATAAACTAGTTTTGGTTTTCTGGGTTCATGGCAGGGTCACGTGTGCGACGGTCACATACACTTGTTCTTCAAGTTCAGCCCTCTCTTTGGGGACCGTAATCTTGATGGGTCCATGGGGAGTGTAGAAACCCGGCTCCCAGAGGGTTGGCTGCTCAGCTGTTTGTCCTGTTTCTGGCTTGTTGACCCTGGACAGCACCCCAGTTATATTTAGCATGATGTTCTTTCCCTTTCAAAAATATGGAAAGAAGCTAATTTTATGCTTAGAGAATTTGGACCACACAGCTTTCGATATGTCCCTAAAACAGAGTAGGCTTGGTGGGCAGTCTGGGGTCCTGGCTTGGCCAAACTCAACCTCTAGAGCCCTATCACTGCTCATGTCTGAGGAGGCCCTCAGGGAGACATGACTGATTCGATATCTGAGTTTTTTTCAAAAAATTATTAACCAGTTAGAAAGGTTCCTACCTGTTGTTACTTGAGGAGGAGACTCAGGGCAGGCATGAAGGCAACTCTTCATGCTAGTC